GAGCATCATCCAGGCCATTTGGAAGTAGTTGCTGTTCCACCTGCAAGCCAATGAAACTTGTCTGCTGCTGAGGAAGAGACCCAAGAAAGCCATCAACACTGCCATGTCCAGATGTGACAGTTGGCCCGCAGGAGGTCATCTACACATCTCAAACAAAGCTAACAACAACAGAATCCAAAGTCTCTCAGCAGTGATTGGTACCGACTGTCCGTGCGCGTAGACTTGAGACTAGCTACATCAGTAACATCACTACACTGACTACAGTATTAGTATAATGTATCTAAGAAGATAAATTAACTGCGTTGATTGTTAGAATGTTTAATTATACAAAAAAAATTACCAAGCAATTCTTCTACGAGGATAAAATTCAAGATCGTGAAGACGTGAACTATTAGAATAGAATAAGATGGCTTCAACCCTGATCCATAGGGACACTTTGATGAAGACAACAATAGATGAAAATGGCACTTGTGACTTGACAATCACAGCAGATGCGCCAGCAAAATTTTCTACCAGTGCATGTGTAATACAAGAAAATTCTTCCAGAACAAATTTGTGGAATCTTCCTGTAAGTAGTTGTGTTACTTGTGAGTTGTGTAATTTTAAGGAAAAGTTTCTGCTTTCCAGAGTCCAGACTCCAGAGGCAGAGGGGCTCAGGGCAGTTTTTTAGACGCTCCCTCAACTCTCAAGTTCTTTGTTGAGTCCTATAGGTAGACCAGTAGGCAGTAACCAAGTACTGCAAAGTGTAAAACTGTAAATGTATCATGGCTTTTTGTATTATTGCTTTATTGTATTATTGTGAGACACCAGGCAGACTGTCCAGGCTTAAATAAATGGTGCTTCACAAGCCACATGACAGTGAGGCAACAGGAATTTCTTCTATTAGTATTGAAAAAAATAGTATGTGACTAAATAATTTCACATGGCTTACAATTTTTTGTATTTTTTGTTTTGTAAATTTAACAAGCACAATGAGAAAATAAATGCTTTAGCAACTGTAAATAATATTGTAGTTCAAATGTGATTAATACCTAATAATCTTATATTTATAGTTCTTCTGAAGTTCTGATTATAATTTTTCTTCAAGTAATTAATTATGTTTTGTTTTGCAGTACCACATTCTGTGCAAAATCTCTACTCTACTGAACTTGCAAGATGCTCTTTCATTTGCCAGCACATGCAAGTTGGCTCACACGGCTGTCATGGACCAGCACACATGGAGGCAGAGGCTTTGGTATTGGGGCAAGGTGAGCAATGATAATTACCTGTAGCAATTGCTCCTTTTTTCAGAAAAGTTTGCTTCTTATGATAGCTTTATAAATCATACCAAAATGTTAACCCTTAAAAGAAAGTGATTTCATTTACAAATAGGTTTATTCATAAAGAAAACTTGGGAATGTTCCTGGTAGAACATATTGTTGAACTACTAATGATGCAATTCCTGTTTTCTGCTCAGGCTGTCAATGTGTGCATGATGAATAACAGTTCCCCACACTTGAAGGAAGCATCAGCTGTAATCTCGGATCCACTTCTACTCAACCTTCGTACAATGTAAATACTTTACATCTCGGTAAAACATTGCAAAATTTATTAACAAATTTTATCTTTGAGCTGATTCTTCTTCAAAGTTATGCCATAACAGGTCTAGTATAATAGATTATATTTTTCTCTATTATTTTTCAACCATCCATAAAATCTATGAACATTCTAAAGACATATGTAGACTTTGAGTTGTGCTGGAATCTTGCAGTTATGAGTAGTTCCAAGTTCTAATGATGCTTTATGTGCAGGTATGAAGTGTTGTCTCCTGGAGGCTGTCGTCTGCGCAGATCTGGTCCCCCTGTATTGGATGTTGCTAATCTTTTGGCCAAGCTTGACCCGTCTCACTCCTCAAACCCAACACTGATGCAAAATTTTTTCAATGTGCTGGCCAAGATATTAGGGCATAGAGTATCTATCCACGAGAAAAGTGTGAGTGGCTATGCAAAACCTAAGCTAAGCTCCATATTTGCTGAAGAAATGCAGATCTTTTTATTCGTCAGACTTGGAATTACTAGGTTAATGACCAAATTATAAGATCTCTGTCCATTTTAACATAAAAATTTAATGATTTTATTAGAATATATACACATATCTATATCCTTGTAATGTTTAGCACCCGACCATCTCATTTCAAATTTAGTTATTCTAATGAGCCGTCTTCCCCTTCAAATGTGTTCTGTTTCAAATAGCCAATTGTTTCTTTCCCACTAAGCCTCTGATGCAGAATCACATTGATTAAGCATATAAACCTTGAAATTTTGTTGTTTCTATGTTATTTACCTGGAGGGTTAGGTCAATCATAGTTTTTATCAAGCAATTTACAGTACTTCTCAGTATTACCACACAGATGTATTTTGTTCCAGCCCATACTGATCGGTGCTAACGAGAGTCGATACGTGCTGTTCTCGCAGCCCGAGACGCGCACGTCTCACTCGCTCTTCATGACGCTCATCACGTCACGCAGCAACATCATTGAAACTGTGGGCCTCGTTGAAGGACGGCCTGGTGGCATCGGTACGTCATACTACTAATTTTATAACAGCATTCTTCCGCAAACTGGATAATTCCTTCTTAATTTAGTATCTGAACTCTGAAGTTCTCTCAGAATAATTTATTTTAGTTGTGCATTCCAAACAGTTTAGAGACTAACATTTGAATGTAGGCTTAAAACTAATAATTTTATCAAATGGGTTCTTGAGTAAATGAATGATACGTACCTATTTTAGTCTATCCACCATTTAATGTCTAAAGAATGACCTCTTGTTACTTCACATGGCCCAATGATTGAGCTGCTGAATTTTATGTCCTCGTGAGAAAAATTAAATTGGTGTTGAATAAAAAATGAATCCTTAATTCAATTTTGTATCTATATGTTTTATTTTATCCAGTAATCTGGATAAAACAAAAGTAAGTAAATAAAATATATCGCGGAATTTTTTGTCGAGGATGGAATGAGATAGAAAACTTTGATATACAAAGCTTTTCTTCGTCATTACAATTCCTGAATGTCAGGCACTGAAAGGCATCGTGACATGTATTACAATTGTATCATTATGCACATGTTATATTGGTAACCTATTTACTATGTGCTATGTGAAGCATCTCTCTCTCTCTTTACCATGTTTTTATAATTTGCCATCAGTCTATTTGATAATTTTTCAAAATTCATTCAATTTTAGTTTTTTAATCCCATTTTTGTTGGCTTTTTGTCTACAATTGGTTGTTGAAGAAAGCTATCAATCATTTATTTGGGCTGAGTACAGGCAGCGGTGTGACGGTGCGTTATGAGACAGTTGATGAAGGCTCCTGCTCGCCATGCAGCGTAGAACCCTCGCCTCATGTAGACTCAGCCAACAGCCACATCTTCAACTTATTGCCCCTGCGTCGCATCAACTCCAGACTCCTCACGCCCCACGACACCCCCGGCGGTGTGAGATTCATTGACGAAGTGGCAGAGGTGAAGCTCTGTGACTATCACGTTTGATATCATTATAATATTAAATTGCATGTCTAACATTTGATTCATAATCTAAAAGCAATTGGAATCTGAATGCCCGTAAAATAACATCCATGACTGCCGTAACGTGTTGCTTATCAACTTATGCCGCTCATAGGTGGTGCGTACGGCAGCTGGTATTGTTTGCATCGTGGACGGCGAGTGCCTTTGTGGCAGCACTGCAGCCAGCGCCTCCGCTACTCACATTGGTGTGTTTCTCCTGCTGGCTTGTGGAATTATTCTTTTTAAATTCCTGTTATTAACTTATTTATTGCGCCCTAGAATCATAATTTCAACCTTTGCTTGTTGTTATAAAAAAGCACGATAACCTTGTACCAGTAAAGCAACAACTAAAATTCCTTTCACAGCATTCCGAGTTGAAGGCGAGATCAACATCGGCGACGTCAACCGCGGTTTTCTTTGGAGGGGAAGAGAAAAAGTGGCTGCCTAGACCACTAGTTTTCCCAATTTAAAAAACAAGACAGATTAATTCCTTTTCAAATTTGTAACTCACAAATATATACAAATCATTGCGTTCAATATTTATCTAGAAGTATCCCGAGCTATAGAATGAAATAGAGCACAGAAGAACAACACTGAACGCTTTCGATCGCTATTGAGCAACAACGAACAGTAAAGAACAATATTCCTGTGAATGCGATTGTCAGCTGGCGAAATCTCCTATTTAAATACAGCTAACTTCCTTCTGCCGGTATTCGTTCTCTGTGTCATGTTCACACAGTGATTGATTTAGTAAGTTATAGCTGAACATGCAATCCTCGGTGAAAAAGTTCGGCTTAACCGTAAAATTCAAATCAAATTATGTTTATTGGATATTCATAATCGTAGCTTTCAGTAGGATTAAGAGCAATAAATTCTGATAGAAATTCATGCCAAGATAATGTCCAGTCAACTGCACAATGACACTCTCTACTAAACCTCAGTGAGGCGCTACCAACGATACCACATATTTAAACTTCGTTTTTATTGCAAAATTTTGTCAAGTTATGCCATTGTAGTGAGGTAACTTTTGAGATTACTTGTGTCAAATATGATTTCTGATTGTGTTGATTTTTTTATAGACGGTCACACGTTGGAACTTGGCGCCTTAGAAGCGATGCTGCGTACTTTCCCCGCCAATCGCTGCCCTGTGGTGCTGCTCTTGTTGGTGCACACCGCGGCAGCTACTGACTGTGATGTGTCTGGTTGTCAAGAACGCTGCACCACGAGAGTACACATGCCTTATCTCTTGGCCAACATCATGGATCCTTGGCACATCCCTTGGGCGGTAATTTATTTACTAGACGATATATCTCTAGTATGGCTGTGATGCACGAGCAGCCCATTCAATTAAAATGAATTGCTATCTGATCGACCATTTATTCTGTTGTATGCTCCATCCAAAAATTTTTACGTTATACATTTCTATTGATCTAAATTTTTGTCATCTTTGCTCAATCGTTGATCTTGATACACTCTTACTATAAAATGTTTATTTCAGGCATTTGAGGTGGAAATCCCGTCGCTGTGTGGCCTCAGTCTCGCGCTCAACTGGCTCGTGAGGCGCACTGCCGTCCATAAGACCTGCTAGGACAGCGCTGTCTACTAGTGAGGCTCGTGAGGCGCACTGCCGTCCATAAGACCTGCTTGGACAGCGCTGTCTACTAATACGCCTCTTCTGGCCAGTACCACACAATGCATCTATTAACACAATAAAATTAACACTGTGATTACCGGACTAATTAAGAATTAAGATTCGTGAATTAATTTGATGATTTTTTCAATACTAAAAATAAGTTACAATAGAAAAATCTTCTCTGGTTTAGCGGCGTTTGTGCCATTGCGTTGTTCCGCTTTCGCCAGAAGAGAAGAGTTTGGGAAAGTTTATACCGGTTAGCGTGTCATTCAGGTTATTATCGTCATTCAATGGTTTCAATTTGAATAAATATCTCGATTTTAGAACGTTTGTCCGTTAGGTAAAAATTACAACTAAGTTTTCGATTCAGCCTGAATGACCTTTTTTCGTACTCCCTGTGCAGATGACCACTTATGAAAAAATTGTCGGCCTTGGCCGCCCTCAATTGTTAGAATTTGGCTTTTTTTTTCTTTTTTTTTTGCGGAAGTCTTACGGATTGCGTCCGTTTTTTTTACGGCAAAAATCATTGACCAGATTTCTTAGGAGGTAGTACATTATGTCTTTTATTTATTCAATGATAATGTCACAGTATACTCTTTATGTTGTTTGTTCCTAATATATTCTGAAAAAACTATATACAATTTAAAATTGGAGAATTGATCAGTAAAATACTAGGTTTTTTTATAACCAAAATTATCTTCACGAATAAGCTGTTATTGTTGATTTATTGTATGATATACAAAAACTGTTTATTGTTTAATATGAATATTTCCTCTGTTTATGAAGTTACAGCAAATGATCGTTTTACTTGTGTAGATCTAAACGCTTTCATGATATTTTGTTGTAAGCGTCACAACATTCCGTCCACATTTTCTCATCCAACGAATAACCAAATTAATAAGCACCTGAACAATTTCTCGTCCTCATCATTTGAGACTCGGAACTTCAGTACCGTAGTGGTGAGCAAAGTAACCGAAGCTTTCATTTGTTACCACGTTTTTCTTAGTTTCGCTTCGTCTCTGTCTGTCATCAAAAATTCAAACCTTAATTTATAGCACTTCTAAAGATCCTAGAAACTTGAAATTTGCATGCTTATGCTGCCTACCAATGCAAGATTTGATCATCAAAAGTAATAATAAAAAAAATATTTTTTTAATAAAATAAAAAAACTCCTAAAAATTCACAGTTGGGAATCGAGTTTTTTTGTCAAACATCCAGACTTGACAACACTGGAAAATGATTTGAATTGCTAAAATTGCTAAACTAAAATGTAGAAAATAAATATAAAAACATTTTTAAAAACCACGTTTTTCTTGTGGTTACAAAACTAAAAACAATGAAATAAAACAAATAAAAAACTTGAAAAAAACACGTTTTCTTAACGGACAAAAAAGAAAAACAACTCCTACATAACATTACATAACTTTAATGTTATGCAAGAGTTAATGTTTTTCTTTTTTGTCCGTTAGGAAAACTTGGTTTTTAAAAGTTTTTTTATGTGTTTTATTTCATTGTTATAGTTTTGTAACCACCAGAAAAACGTGGTTTTTAAAAATGTTTTTTATATTTATTTTTTATGACCTGTTGTTCACTTAGTGCATTCCGAGATTGTGCGAAACTGGAGCAAATTGAAACGCTTGTGGATGTTGCAAATTTTTTTGCTAATGCTCTCAGCTTAGCCTTCTGTTAGAGCTTTCTCAATTGAAAAAAATCACGATTGAAGTCAACGTCCCTTAATTTGAAATTGTTTTGTTTTAAGAAACCTAAATTTTTTGTCCACTAATTCATTGTCACCATTGATGCATTTTGAAGAATTTCATGTTCATTTTGAGCTCTGAAAACACTGTAATTTAGTCCGTATACTCGTGTGAGCCTCAATGTGTGAGAGGAGGAGTTCGTAAAATTTTGCTCCGTACATTATCAGGGGTTATCTTGTATTTATTTATCATGCACTCGCTATAATGTATACCATTCAAAATATTAGTGTTTTCTCGTTGATTAAAATCTTTTTCAAACGTCATTGTTTATTTATTACGTGCATAGTTAGTGTGGCAGCAACTGAGTAAGACAGTTGTTTAAGGTACGGTTCTTTCTTTAATATATCGTGTCGAGTGTAATCGGAATAAGCACATTGAATTGTTTTCAATGATAATTATATTAATAGCGGTTTCTGCGTTAATTAGACCGTTAGGCCTGCCAACGATTTTCAACAGCGCAGAACTAAACTAACTGATAAAAAGAACTAAACTAACTAAAGAAACTAAACTAAAAGAACCAAACTAACTGATTTAATCCTGGTACTCTGAATTGTAACCCCTGGGACACCCTGTCTTGCCAGTCTTTTTTCTGATATTCAATGTAATCGAGTTCTTTTATTTGTTTCTTACTATCTACGACAAAACGAACGTTAAAGTATGTCTAGTAATTCATTCAGTTAATGAGCTGCTACGCCACTAGATTTGTTCTCGCGATTTGTCACCCCGCTTGGGTTTTCTCCTCATTTGAGATTTTCTCCTCAAAACCCTCCTTGGGTTTTCTCCTTGGGTTTGATACCCGCAACCGCACGATTAATATTTGGTTCGAAATATGATATGTTGAATTAAGTGTTATTTCACGTGCACACGTGATGTCGATCTCCGCAAATGAGGTCAAAGACACGTTCCTTGATTGCGCCATTCGAGCAGCCGTGATTCAACGTCGCATGTTGGTTGTTGCAACGCCAGCCTCGTGAGTCACCGATGAGTCCTCGCGTTACTGCCAAATAACCTCATTTTTTTCACGGTCAGTTTAAAAACATCTGAATTTAAGTTGTTTGTACAATCTTTTAGTTTATTCGAAGTCGTACTGCGAAGTTAGTTGATCCCGCAAATGCTCTTGGATGAATTTTTTTTATCCTTAGTATTGAGTGACACTTGGCTGCACCCCAAGCTCTGATATTAATTAATTGGCACCCTAATATCTTGAATGTGGAGGAAGACAAAATGCATTAGAACCTTTCTTCAAGACGCTAATTATCCTGATTTTTAAGAAACCCTATTGAGCAAATACCGCATTGAAATAAACATAAAGCGTGCCCAGCTGTCGTCTTGCGTTCATTCACATTATGCGTGCCAACTAACCTAACCAGCATGAGCGTCGCTCCTAAACATCGACGCGCCAAGTCAAGGGTCGGGCTGCTGTGGTCTCCGCCAAGCGGTCCGCAGCGCTGTTTGTTTGCGATTAATGCTGGTCAAAATTGCTGCTGTCCAACTGCAACGTCTCAACTGTCGGATTTAGCAATTAATTAATGCGGGCAATAGACGCCATTTCCCCTGATGGGATTGATGATCTGTAACATGAAAAATATCATCGCGTTATTATATCACATATGGAATAAACACATTAACCTCGAACGCGTAATTTTTGGAACCGCACTTCAGAGATATATTTGGCACTCGTACTTGAGTTAACAAAATACGTCTAGGTATGCCCTGCATTGCATTCAACCAAAAACCGTTTTTTGAACGAAAGAACAGACTAAATTACTCTTGGACATCCATTTATATGTAGATCGGTTGTTGAAGTTGAAAACCGAACATTTAGGCCGAAGTATAACTTTAAAGTTCAATTTCACCCTGGAATTAACAATTCATAAGCGTTTCTATGTAACCAATTTAATAACTTGACCAGCTGAGGGATTGGGTAGGAATAAATGTAATTGTAGAAAGGAATTCTGAAAAATATTGAGTGGAAATTTATTAATACATCGAGCGAAAACTGAAATCCTGTGGCACCGTTTCATAATCATGCTAATTTCAATTAATCTACAGAGGATTTCCCCATAGACAATTATAATACTTGAGAAACTCGTATTCATTGATTCGGTTTTTAATTCATAGTTAAAATAACTTCATCTTGTGAAAGAAAAACTGTTCATTGCGTTAGCGATATCCCATATCTGTAATGACAGGTGCTGGTGAAATTAGTTTTATTTAATCGAATTGATCAATTTCAAATCAAATTTTTCGCCTCTGCGGCTAAATTTTTGTTTTACATGTAGCCTTATATCATTTCTCGCTCATTGCATTGCTGAATCAAGTACAGCCGTGCTGAAGCCACTCGAGTAAAGCAATTCTCGTAGACCCTCTCTATTCTGAAGTCATGTCCACCGTTCAAGTTGGTGAGATTTTAACGCTATCTTTTTGACCTGAGGCTGCGCGACACGCGAGATGAAGCAATCATGTCATATGCACGCACAGAGCTCTAATACGGGCAGCATTAACATGCTCGTGCTATCTTTGCTCGAGCAGAAGTGGATAGATGAAGAGCTTGCAGTGATCTGTTATCATGCGTTTCTGGCATGAGCTCAATGTTATGTGTCATCTGTAAATGATTGAACATGAATGCGGCCTTGACTATATCTACAAGGAACGATAATACTATCTATAAGCCTATTTTTGTGCTATGATAAGCTTTATAATTCAAAATAATGTTATTAATTATGATTCAACTTTGATTTGGATCAAGGAATTTGAACACGTGCATGAGTCACACCAACACCATGGACGTAGAATGTAAGATTATTGATTTCCTCTGTTAACGTATATGTATTCTTTATGGGCCGACCTTGCAGGTTACAGTGGATTTAATTTTTAAAGTTATTAAGTTTTTTACGGTTAGCTTTGATTTTTCGGTATAGAACTCGGGCCAATAAGAGTTACTCCTGCGTGCAGGCTGTTTTACCAACCGCGGCGTATACGGTATCAGGATGCGATAGAAAAGGTCGGGATCATAATTAACTCGTTTACAGTCAAGCGCAATGAAGGAATGTAATGGTAAAAAAAATATACGTTTAAAAATTACTTTTTAAAGACAACACTTCCAAAGAATCCAGTATCTCCAATCTTACAGAGTTACAATGAATTTCTTATCTAATTTTCGAAAATTAAAAAAATTAACTTTTCAAATTTTTTAATATATATAACTTTTTTAATATATAAATTTTTTTCAAAATTATTTATTCTGTTAATTGATTCATGCATTGCCTCTGACTTCACACAAGTGTGCAAAATTTCAAATCAATTAGACAGGTAAAAGTTTGTCAAATATCAGTTTAAGATTTGTAGCTGACAAAATTACTTTTTCAATTTTTTTAATATCGAAAAAAAATTTTACTTTTAAAAAAAATTATTTTGACATTTGATTTATGCATTGTCTCCAACTTCAAACAAGTATGCAAAATTTCAGATCGATAGGATAAGTAGAAGTTTGTTAAATTTCGATTACAAGATTTGTAGCAGACAGACAGACAGACAGACAGACAGACAGACAGACAAACAAGAAGTGAAGTTAAAGAGAAGCGTTGTAAAAATTGTTAAAAAAGAAAATCGTGAGCTTTTACTCATTATTTTAGAACAATTCAACATCACAGTGGGTGCAGCCAGTGCAGGACCACGGACCAAGCTAAGGCTTAAGCCCCTTTCACACAGGGCAGTAGATACTGCGCGCGTCAAAAATGCCGCGGCAGTATTTACAGCGCAATCTTTCACACGAGGCGCTTTTTACTGCTGGGATCTATCAGTCTTGCAGTGCTTTATGCTTCATCAGTCCATCTCTATGTTTATGTAACAATATTTCTTTATGAAAATACTGTATATCTATATGTGAGAATGATGTAAATACATCTCTATGGAAATACCTATATATTTTATGGAAAATATTGTTTATTATGCACCTAAAATACGGCCCCACTGTCTGCTGGGATCTGGCGTCAAAAACCGCCCAGTGTGAAAGATTACATTGAATACCATTGCAAGCTAAACTGCGCGACAAATCTACTGCCGCAGTTTTAGCAGGA